GACTGTGAACCACAAGGTGAGTCGTTCGAGCTCACCAGTTGTTCCACAGGAGAAAGAAGATTTTCTGTTCCTAGAAGCCCTATGCAGGGTCACTACAAGTCAGAACCGATTCAACAGCACTTTAACAGCAAACATCTGTCAACATCTATCCCAACAATTCCATCCATATGGATCCTTAGTGCAAATACATATCATCTCTTGGATGAACTATTAATTAAACTAGGCTTCCACCTTCTTTTCTCCTCCAGGTCTCACATTTTTCTCCAATCCATTTTCCATTCTATGGTTAAACGGAACTGATTAAAATTCAAATATGATGTTACACCTCACTAGCTTTACACAGAAATTTCTCTATCAACCAGACTCATCTACTGACGCTTTGCATTCTGTTCAATCCAGACATTTTAAGAATGTCATTTACCTGTTTATCTTAGTGCTGAGGCTAATGGCTGGCTACAGTGGTGATATTCATTAGCAGCTATTTGTGTAATAGATAAGATAGGACTTAAGACTAATAATAGATACAGTAGGATGTTCTGGGCAAATTCAGAAAATATAGTATAGTCAGTCCATTCTGGCTAAAGCAAAAAAAATAAAATAAACAAAAGAAATGTTATGGTAAGCAATTTAATTTTTAAAAGCAAGATGAAGCTAGTTCACAGATCACTATTAATTCCATGCTAAACACTGTACACTTTAATCTAGGTCCTCAAAAAACATCAACTATTCTGAACAGCGCATGAAACGTCTAGAAGTGTACTGTATCGTCTGAAATTTGAAAAACACACAAAAGAGACTTGGGAGGGGCACAGTTAAGATGCTATTGTAATAACCTGGAATAAAGAACTCAATTAGAGCAACTGAAGGAGGAACAAATAAATTAGAAGAACATGTCAAGGGGCAATGAATCTCTAGGTTCTGCCTTACATGTGAACAGTAACAATAATGCAAAGACAAAAGTAAGAAGAAAGGCTTCAAAGTTTTGAGCCTATCAAAATAATAAGACCTAATCAATCCTTATTCATGGTGATACAATGAACATCAGAGTAGAAATGTGCTCCATAGGGCTTTCAATGGCTGTGCACCCTTCAAAATAGATCACCAGACCTTTCTTCCAAGGCAAAGCTAGGTGGATTTGACCCGACAACCTTTCAGTAAGTTGTTGTTGGTAAATGCCATCGAGTCGGTTCCAACTCATAGCAACCCTGTATATAGGGTTTCCAAGGAGCAGCTCAAACAACTATGCAGTTTGACACATTAGCCCACAACGCCACACCAGGTCACCTGTGGTTAGCAGCCAAGCATTTAACTGATTGTATCACCCAAAATTCCATACATCAAGAAAAAAACACTAGGAAATGGTAGGTGGAAGGGAGAGAGGTGATGGTTTTAGTCTGGGAAATACTGGGTTTAAGGGATGAGAAAGAAACAGAAGTATTTCCATTCATTCAAAAATATGAGTTCCTATTAGGTGTCAGGAGTCCTGGTGTGGTGCTGTGGGTTAATGGACCAGACTGCAAAGCCATTTCAACTGCAAGCTCAGCAGTTCAAGCTCACCAGCTGCTCCTTGGAAACCCTATACAGGGACGCTATGGGTCAGAACTGACTCTACGGCACTTCACAACAACCAGGTGTCAAGGCCTTCTGGTGTGACGCTGTAGGATTAACACTGGACTTCGAACAAGGTTGGCAGTTCAAACCCATCAGCTGCTCCTCAGAAACCCTTTATAAACTCATTATGAGGCAGAATCAACTCAATAGCATGTAACAACAACTAGGTGTCAGAAAGCATATTGTTGTTGTTACGTGCTATTGAGTTGGTTCCAACTCATAGCTACCCTGTATAGGGTTTCCGAGTAGTGGTTGATGGGTTTAAACTGCCAACCTTATGGTTAGCAGCCCAGGACTCGGAGAATGTGTGGAAGATAAAATGAGAATAAGATAGGTCTATTCTCAAGCAGGAGTCCTGGTGTGGTGCTGTGGGTTAATGTGACAGACTGCAAAGCCGTCTGAACTACAAGATCGGCGGTTCAAGCTCACCAGCTGCTCCTCGGAAACCCTATACAGGGTTGCTATGAGTCGGAACCGACTTGATGGCACTTAACAACAACAACAATTCTCAAGCAGCATCCAATCTAGTTGTAAAAAGGGAGGACAGACAAGTAAATGTTGTAGTTGTTAGGTGTCATCAAGTTGCCCCATATTGTTTTCTAGGCCCCAATTGTCCCATAGTGTTTTCTAGGACATAATGGAAAAGTGACCAAATTGCTGGGTCACTTTTAGTGAGCAAACCTTTGCAACATTAGGGCTTTTTGTCGTCAAGTCAGTTCTAACTCACATTAAGTCTGCATAGGGTTTCCAAGGAGTGGCTGGCAAATTTGAAGCACCAATCTTACAGTTCAATCCGACCTTGAGTTCCAAGGCATCACCCCACAGCAAGTAAACAAGAACTTAAAATTCGCTGTTAAAAAGTGCTAGCCTAGACTGCTAAAAAGAAAGCAAAGGAGAAATATCCAACTCAGCTGTGAGGATCTGAAAAAAACTCTGAGGAGAGAGAGTCAGGAAGGAACACTGTTAGGCCTGGCAAAGAAGAGCAGCCCAAATGAAGAAAACAGAACGTTCAAAAAGCCTCAGACAAGAACACAACCAACCTAAACCAAATCTTAATAGAAACAGACAGCCTCATCTTTCTCCTGTGAAGCCACTAATGGGTTTGAACCACAGACCTTAAGGTTAGCACCTTAATGTCTAAATCACAGCACCACCAGGGTTCCGTAACAACACAACAGTCAGAAGTAGTCAATAGATGTGATGAAAAAGTTCAAGATGAAATATCCTGTTGGTAAAAATTCAGGTTTTGAGCGCCCAAGATCACATCCATCTGGATATAAAATATATTTTCAATCTTTTCTTAGGTGACTTAGAATCATCAATGAGTAGATGAATGAGGACTGGAAGAACCTTACAAGTCATTTTCTACCTCCTCACCGGCATGTCTACCGCCCTAAGAAGGTATCTCTCTGGTTAGTTTAATAAACAAAAGGGGCTAGTAGGGATTGTGGTAAATTGGAGCTGCATGCCCTGTTTAAAGGGATCAGCTATTTACTCAGCTTCAGCCTTACTCCGTAGGGTAGTGATTATGAATCGGGCTGTGAACCACAATGCCAGCAGTTCGAAACTAGCAGCTGTTCCGCGGGACAAAGATGAGGCTTTCTGCTTCCGTAAAGATTTACAGCTGACGCCATGGCACATAACAACAACAAGCCTTAGAGGTGGATTCAATATAGAAAGATCTTCCTATTCTTCAAAAAACAAATGATGTATTATCTCCCATTTTTAAACACTATCGACAAATTACATTTAAAATAACATGGTGCCAGCCAACCAAAATGCTTCCAAGCACAAAATTCAGTACAGCAGCATGGCAGAGTTAGGCCAGGTGTGCCAACTCCTACACAGCTCTTTCCACTACTTCAAAGGACCCTCAACTGATACGCTATTTTGGCAGTTCCCTCTATTTAAGAGTTGAATGAGTCTGAGCAAAATAGAATCAAACTGGCAATGCCTTATGAGCTCTTTTGCATGTTTTCAACTAACTTTTCTACCTCCCTTTCAGAATTATCTGCTTCTAGCATCACTGAGATTTTCTATCTATTCCTTTCTATTACAACCTAAGAAGTCAAGTTGCAAGTACAGCAAAAGTAAATGGAGAGAAAGCCTGAAGGCATTTCCAATGAATAAAATATTTAAGCTATTTGTCAGCACTTTGGTTTTCTTAGAAAACAATATGACAGTAATATTTGTGACTAATCAAGCACATGGGGGGGGGGGAGAAACAGTAACCTAAATCTGAAGATATTTTGCTAACAAATCAAATCGCTTCCACAGCGAAACACCGAAGGGGGAGGGAAGAACAATGCAAAAGGGAAAGTAAAAGTTGCAGGCCTTTGAGAAATAAGACACCTTTTAAGATATTTTTAAAAGCACAATTGTTTAGCACAAAACGTACACCCAAATCTCAATTGTCAATATTGACAGAAATTTAATTTTTAACAAAGTAACATGAAATATCTTGAAGCAACAAAAAACTGGGATTCAGTAACACTATTAAAAGAGTAAAGCCAGCTCTATTATTTATGGAAATGGTACATTAAGAGAAAGAAACAAACAAAAAATACTCTGGTGATTGTTTTTAAAGTTATTCAAACACAACAGTTTCTGATATTTTGATGCGTTTGTAGTAATAAAGTTGCTTTAGAAGCTACTTAAAATAGAGTAACATTTCCTAATTATATCCAATCATTTAAAAACACAGAACTTGGGGTAGATCCCCAGCTAAAAATGTGATAAGCTAAAAGTAACATGTAAAGAATAAAAAGGCTTGAAACCAACAAAGTGATAATGTCAAGATTTCAGGCTCTTTAAAAAATTTTAGGAAAAAAAACCTGAAAATAGTGGCCTTTGCACCCACCGTTACTTGGAGGAGTGGAAGAATTCAGGGGACTAGTGAGTGATTACTGAGGTTGAACAGAACAGGCCGTGTTCCTGCTGCTACTGGCAAGCAAGCTCTGCAATTACTTAGTACCAGCATTATGGCCAGGGCACTGCTGGAGTGCCCTAAAATGAGCATAGTGGACACCTGAAACTGACAGCAGCCCTGGAAAGACAGAGAAGGCGGAAAAGTGGCCTGCTTTGACCTCCACTGAAAAAGGAGGCTCCTCCAACTGGTGTCTCTGAATCAAGGGGCAGGGCACTAAGCATTCAGCGCTTCGATTATTCGGACAAACTCACCCTGGCTTCCAGCGGCCTTCCCACACACTGGGCAATGTCAACATTCAGAACCACCCGAGTGTAGGGGATCTCTCAGTAGGTGCCGTCCTTTCGGACAGGCCGTAAGACGGGGAAGAAAGACGGCCCTGCGCGCCCCGCCTCCCCAGCCCGGCCCCTACCCACCGGGCCGCGAGTTGCGGCCGGGAAGTGGGGTCCCGCGCACTCCTCACCTTTTTCAGCGCTGGCACCAGCAGCCCCCGCCACTTGGGCGCGTTCTCCTCGCTGAAAAACTCGTACGGCAGCTGCTGCGCCTGCATGGTGCCCCCGAGGCGCCTCTGGTCGGGGAGGGGGGCGGCGGCGGCCGGGCCGAGGAGCCGCGAGAAAGCGAGCTCGCAACGCGGAGCAGGGCCGCGGCCCCACCGGACGGCCCGGCCCCCTCGGGGCGCCGCGCGATCAGGCTA